GCGAGACAGAGATAGTAGATGTGGAAAGAGATGTCATAGGGATCAAATGAGACATGTAAAAGAAAGGATCACATAGGACTTGGTCGAGTATGATTCAGTGAATGTTTGACATGTGTCGAATGTGGCACTGTAACATTGAAATGGGCATTGTTTTATAGTAATACAAGTTGTCTCCAGACATTTCAAGTCATTCCAAAACTATGAAATTCCAATTCATTATTTGGTCCCCACTTACATTGCATGGGAATACAACCCTGCTGAAAACCCATAGGTGACTTGATAAAACTACAGGGCAAATGTGTTTATCGTATACTGCTTTTTTGACTAATACCACAACCGGACACTGTCTGGGTAAAATAATGTGTTAACAAAATGAAGCATCTATCATCATCAGCGACGCCTAAAATGGCCTTTACCATCATCAACATTTAACGCTCTTTCCAAATCCTGCATGTGAGCGTACAAGCCTTACAAGGCTCATCTTTCCCTATCTGCATGTTAACCGTATAGCTCTGGAGCATTTGTAAGATGTATCTGGGTCCAAAACGGCACTCTATTCCTTATAGGGATGAGGTTAAAAGTAGTGCACTATATAGGGAATAGGGTGCCATTCTCTGGTCTAAAGTAGTGCACTATATAGGGAATAGGGTGCCATTCTCTGGTCTAAAGTAGTGCACTATATAGGGAATAGGGTGACATTCTCTGGTCTAAAGTAGTGCACTATATAGGGAATAGGGTGCCATTCTCTGGTCTAAAGTAGTGCACTATATAGGGAATAGGGTGCCATTCACTGGTCTAAAGTAGTGCACTATATAGGGAATAGGGTGACATTCTCTGGTCTAAAGTAGTGCACTATATAGGGAATAGGGTGCCATTCTCTGGTCTAAAGTAGTGCACTATATAGGGAATAGGGTGCCATTCTCTGGTCTAAAGTAGTGCACTATATAGGGAATAGGGTGACATTCTCTGGTCTAAAGTTATGCACTATATAGGGAATAGGGTGACATTATCTGGTCTAAAGTAGTGCACTATATAGGGAATAGGTTTCTGATGGAATTTTCACTGCTCTTCCTGGACAGGGTTGGGCCTAACAAGTGACATATGCACTCGGTGCTCCAACACCTCGGGGCTTTACACGTGGAGTGTGTGAGTTGGTTAGACTCACCTGGATGTGGTGTGGAAGGTCGGCTTACTAGTTTCTGTTTTCCAGAGGTGTATTCTAGGGTGTATTCACCAAATTCCAATTCCAAATGTTCCTAATTGAAAAGCACTGAAGAGAATTGGAATGTCTGTGTACTTCCTGAATGGAATTGAAATGGAATTGACCCCAACTCTGGTAATACAAAAGGTTATTCCATCAACATGTATTCTAGGGTGCTATGGGCATGTGTATGTGACACTCTGGCTCCATGGACTTTATTATTGAGCCAGGGTTGTTCATTTTCCTTGGTTGGGTGTATTTCTATGTTGGGTATTCTGGTTGTTTCATTTCTATGTGTGGTGATTGTTCGTGTTTATTCAGGTGACTCCCAATCGGAGGTAACGAGTGACAGCTGTCGGCTCGTTATCTCTGATTGGGAGCCATATTTATACTGTGGGGTTTCACCTTGGTTTTGTGGGTTTTTGTTTCCTTGTTGCTGTTAGTATTTATCAGTATTTGGACTTCACTTTCGTCCTATTTGGTTTGTTGTTTTTTGATCGTGCTTTAACTAAATAAAGACTACGATGTTCGCTCAACACGCTGCGCTTTGGTCTCATCCTTTCGACGATCGTGACAGAAAAACCCACCAAAGAAAGACCAAGCAGCGTGTCCAGGAGCAAGGTGACTGGACATGGGAGGAGGCGCCGGGCAAGGAGATGGAGAGGCTGGCGATGGCCCAGGTGGGCACATCGTGGTCCTGGGAGGACATGCTCGGAGGCAAGGGACCTTGGGGGAAGATCAAGGCCCTGGCGAGAGAGGAGCATCGGCGGCAGCAGGTTCATCGTCGGAGGGTCGTGAGTCAACCCCAGAATTTTTTTAGGGGGGGGCACACGGCATGGACGACGGGGCTGACGGAGGAGAAAAGGGGGAGTATCCAGGAGGCCACCAGGCCAGGGGTACACCGCCCTGTACGTCCTGTGCTGATGCCTCACACAGAGTGTGTGAGGGTAGGCATTCAGCCAGGACGGGTGGTGGCCGCTGTGCACTCCAGGCCTCCTGTTCGTCTCCACAGCCCGGTCCGGCCTGTTCCTGCCACCCGCACCAAGACTACGGTGCGCGGCGCCAGCCCAGCCCGGCCTATTCCTGCTCCACGCACCAGGGATACGGTGCGCTTCGCCAGCCCGGCTCGGCCTGTTCCGGCCACCCGCACCAGGGATACGGTGCGCGTCGCCAGCCCAGCCCGGCCTGTTCCTGTTCCACGCACCAGGGATACGGTGCGCTTCGCCAGCCCGGCCCGGCCTGTTCCGGCCACCCGCACCAGGGAGACGGTGCGCGTCGCCAGCCCAGCCCGGCCTGTTCCTGCTCCCCGCACTAGGCCTTATGAGAGTCCCCAGGGTCCAGCATGCCCTGTTCCGGCTCTCCGCACTAGCCCTTATGTGCGTCCCCAGGGTCCAGCATACCCTGTTGCTGCTTCCCGCACTAGCCCTGAGATGCGTGTCCTCAGCCCGGTACCTCCAGTGCCGGCACCACGCATCAGGCCTACGGTGCGTCCCCAGGGCCAAGCATGCCCTGTTGCTTCTCCCCGCACTAGCCCTGAGATGCGTGTCCTCAGCCCGGTACCTCCTGTTCCGGCACCACGCACCAGGCCTACGATGCGCCTCAGACGGCCAGAGTCTGCCGTCTGCCCAACGGGGCCTGAACTGTCCGTCTGCCCAACGCCGTCTGAACTGCCCGTCTGCCCAACGGCGCCTGAACTGCCCGTCTGCCCAACGCCGTCTGAACTGTCCGTCTGCCAAGCGCCGCAGGAGCTGCCCGTCGGTACTGAGCCTGCAAAGCCGCCCGTCTGCCATGAGCCTTCAGAGCCGTCCGCCAGACCGGAGCCGCTAGAGCTCTCCGCCAGACAGGAGCAGCCAGAGCCTTCCGCCAGACAGGATCAGCCAGAGCCTTCCGCCAGACAGGATCAGCCAGAGCCTTCCGCCAGACAGGATCAGCCAGAGCCTTCCGGCAGACAGGATCAGCCAGAGCCTTCCGCCAGACAGGATCAGCCAGAGCCTTCTGCCAGACAGGATCAGCCAGAGCCTTCTGCCAGACAGGATCAGCCAGAGCCTTCTGCCAGACAGGATCAGCCAGAGCCTTCTGCCAGACAGGATCAGCCAGAGCCTTCCGCCAGCCAGGATCCGCCAGAGCCTTCCGCCAGCCAGGATCCGCCAGAGCCGTCCAGCCAGGATCCGCCAGAGCCGTCCAGCCAGGATCCGCCAGAGCCAGCTAGTCAGGTACTGTCCCTTAGCCCGGTGCGGCCCCTTAGTCCAGGGCTGCCCCTTAGTCCGGTGCTGCCCCTTAGTCCGGTGCCGCCCCTTAATCCAGTGGGGTTTAGTTGGGGGGTGGTCATGCGGAAGGGGCTACGGAAGCGGATAGTGACTAAGGTGGGGTGGGGACCACGACCTGGGCCAGAGCCGCCACCATGGACAGACGCCCACCCAGACCCTCCCCTAGACTGTATGCTGGTGCGCCCGGAGTGCGCACCTTTAGGGGGGGGTACTGTGACACTCTGGCTCCATGGACTTTATTATTGAGCCAGGGTTGTTCATTTTCCTTGGTTGGGTGTATTTCTATGTTGGGTATTCTGGTTGTTTCATTTCTATGTGTGGTGATTGTTCGTGTTTATTCAGGTGACTCCCAATCGGAGGTAACGAGTGACAGCTGTCGGCTCGTTATCTCTGATTGGGAGCCATATTTATACTGTGGGGTTTCACCTTGGTTTTGTGGGTTTTTGTTTCCTTGTTGCTGTTAGTATTTATCAGTATTTGGACTTCACTTTCGTCCTATTTGGTTTGTTGTTTTTTGATCGTGCTTTAACTAAATAAAGACTACGATGTTCGCTCAACACGCTGCACTTTGGTCTCATCCTTTCGACGATCGTGACAGTGTAGGGTGTTGCAGAGTCCCTAAACACTAACACAGATAGAAAGGCATGGTGGAAAGTATACGGTAAAGCCTACAGTATCGATGTATAATGCTGAGGAAACTCTCATGCTGACATGTCTTATAGGACCCTGTGTTTTGGCAGTCTTGTGACATGCCTGGATTTTAACCTTTATTCAAAGCTTTTTCATCAAACTGCCCCCTTTTTCTTATTATGTCAGATGGTCCTCAGATATTTTCAGACTTTGGTTTTTGGTGTAATTCTCATTTCTGGATAAGGCTTAAAATACAGGATAGAATCTTGCTATATCACGTGATGGCGCACAACACAGGGGTCTGCTATTGAATATGCATGGAGTTAAACGTGTGAAGAACAGATTCCTACATGTTTGTGGTTATAGAATATGCATGGTTAAACGTGTGAAGAACATATTCCTATGTATTTGTGGTTATAGAATATGCATGGTTAAACATGTGAAGAACAGGTTCCTACATGTTTCTGGTTATAGAATATGCATAGGGTTAAACGTGTGAAGAACAGCTTCTTGCTATATCACGTGATGGCGCACAATACAGGGGTCTACTATAGAATATGCATGGTTAAACGTGTGAAGAACAGGTTCCTGTTTGTGGTTATAGAATATGCATGGAGTTAAACGTGTGAAGAACAGGTTCCTGTTTGTGGTTATAGAATATGCATGGAGTTAAACGTGTGAAGAACAGGTTCCTGTTTGTGGTTATTTGTGAAACATACATTATCAGCATGTGGAATGATCTGTTGCTTCTAAAATAATGGAAATAAAAAGCCTGTCATGACATAGACAGCTTCAATACCATCCTGAGCGCCATAATATAATCAGTAAATATTAATATCAGTTTGGAAAAAGAGGGTAACGTTACAGATTTATGGGTAATACTGTGACGACTAACAGCTGGTTTAAAACATAAGCCCTGTGGAGAAGGACGCGAGTGATGTCACAATCACATGGACAGAAGACAGTGGGGAAGATAGGACCAAGACAGCAACAAGAAAATAAATGGTGAAACACACGAGGCAGGAGTTTGGAGGTTTGACGCACTAGGGTGAAAGGTTGAAAGGTGAAAGGTGAAAGGTGAAAGGTGAGGGTGAGGGTCATAGGCTGGTATAAACGTGGTGGGGTCATGTGGAGGATTAGCCGATATAAGCAGTGCTGATGATGACGGGGACAGTGGTGAGGGAACTGACCTATACACACATTCTCATCTTCCGGCTCTGCAGAGTTATTTCGGAAGTAGCCCTGCTTGCAATCCTGGCAGTGCTGGCCCCTAGTGTTGTGCTTACAGCTCACGCAAATGACAGAGTTTAGCAGCTCGATGTAGCTGCAGCGCTTGGAGTGGCCGAAGCATTCGCAGTCTTGCAAAGAAGGAAGGGTGGAGAGAGACCAAGGGGCCATGTTGACGTGGGGTTGGGTTGTGTTGTGTTGCGTTGCGCGGGGGCGCGTGCTACGGCGGGTGTCAGTGGTAGCAACACAGAGCAAGGAGACGCCATCACATGCGAGGTTAGGATGGCGAGATGGGGGTTGAGATTGAGACGATGTTAGGTTATGGGGAGTAGAGGGGGCAGTATGACAGGTCTGTCATGGACAGATGCAGCCAGCGGTATTAGACATCAGTTGACCCTGGGGCTATGAGAAAGCATGTTGTTAGAGGGAGAGAGTACAAGACAATCGCTCCAAGCACACCACAATGGAAGGATGAGGATTCTGATTCTGGAACTGGTGTTACATGGGGGGATGGAACACACAGTAAGAGACAGGTCAAACAAGACGAGTTGAGTTGGGGATGTAATTTTCAAGGTGTAGGTGTGTAACTTTGAAATGTACATCTAGATGAGGTCATTTGTCCTACTGTGTGTTCAATGTGAGTTAGGAGGAGGAGAGGACTAGGGGCATCTGTAGCACTAGTGTAATCCACAGGCCATTACGTTCACACACAACTGTCACCCTAAAACACAGAGCATGCAACGAGAACTTTTAAAGAAAAACATGACTAGAAATAAATGTCCTTTCTATAGAGAACCAGTGTTTTGAGAAAGAGTTGACACACGTCACAGCCACCCACCACCCCTCCCAGCCAATAAATACCTTGCAACAAAAAGGCACTTTGTTCCCACTGCCTAGTCACACGGCGTCAGGCAGGTGTGCCAATCGCAGAAGGTCCCATCCCAGATCAACCTTGTGTGTGACACCTAGCAGGCCCAGATCAGCTTTAGAGTTGTGGAGTGACCGCTGACACCAACTGTCACGCCGGGTCAGATGTACTCCTTAAGCCATTGCAGATAGGCAGTTGAACAGACAGACAGTCCTCTCTGAGCTACAGGCAGTATGACAGACAGAAAGTCCTCTCTGAGCTACAGGCAGTTTGACAGACAGTCCTCTGTGAGCTACAGGCAGTTTGACAGACAGTCCTCTGTGAGCTACAGGCAGTTTGACAGACAGTTCTCTCTGAGCTACAGGCAGTTAGACAGACAGACAGTCCTCTCTGAGCTACAGGCAGTTAGACAGACATACAGTCCTCTCTGAGCTACAGGCAGTTAGACAGACAGTCCTCTCTGAGCTACAGGCAGTTAGACAGGCAGTCCTCTCTGAGCTACAGGTATTTAGACAGACAGTCTTCTGTGAGCTACAGGCAGTTAGACAGACAGTCCTCTCTGAGCTACAGGCAGTTAGACAGACAGACAGTCCTCTCTGAGCTACAGGCAGTTATACAGACAGTCTTCTGTGAGCTACAGGCAGTTAGACAGACAGTCCTCTCTGAGCTACAGGCAGTTAGACAGACAGACATTCCTCTCTGAGCTACAGGCAGTTAGACAGACAGAAAGTCCTCTCTGAGCTACAGGCAGTTAGACAGACAGACAGTCCTCTCTGAGCTACAGGCAGTTAGACAGACAGACAGTCCTCTCTGAGCTACAGGCAGTTAGACAGACAGACAGTCCTCTCTGAGCTACAGGCAGTTAGACAGACAGACAGTCCTCTCTGAGCTACAGGCAGTTAGACAGACAGTCCTCTCTGAGCTACAGGCAGTTAGACAGACAGTCCTCTCTGAGCTACAGGTATTTAGACAGACAGTCTTCTGTGAGCTACAGGCAGTTAGACAGACAGTCCTCTCTGAGCTACAGGCAGTTAGACAGACAGACAGTCCTCTCTGAGCTACAGGCAGTTAGACAGACAGACAGTCCTCTCTGAGCTACAGGCAGTTAGACAGACAGACAGTCCTCTCTGAGCTACAGGCAGTTAGACAGACAGACAGTCCTCTCTGAGCTACAGGCAGTTAGACAGACAGACAGTCCTCTCTGAGCTACAGGCAGTTAGACAGACAGACAGTCCTCTCTGAGCTACAGGCAGTTAGACAGACAGACAGTCCCTCTCTGAGCTACAGGCAGTTAGACAGACAGACAGTCCTCTCTGAGCTACAGGCAGTTAGACAGACAGACAGTCCTCTCTGAGCTACAGGCAGTTAGACAGACAGACAGTCCTCTCTGAGCTACAGGCAGTTAAACAGACAGACAGTCCTCTCTGAGCTACAGGCAGTTATACAGACAGAAAGTCCTCTCTGAGCTACAGGCAGTTAGACAGACAGTCCTCTCTGAGCTACAGGCAGTTAGACAGACAGTCCTCTCTGAGCTACAGGTATTTAGACAGACAGTCTTCTGTGAGCTACAGGCAGTTAGACAGACAGTCCTCTCTGAGCTACAGGCAGTTAGACAGACAGACAGTCCTCTCTGAGCTACAGGCAGTTAGACAGACAGACAGTCCTCTCTGAGCTACAGGCAGTTAGACAGACAGACAGTCCTCTCTGAGCTACAGGCAGTTAGACAGACAGACAGTCCTCTCTGAGCTACAGGCAGTTAGACAGACAGACAGTCCTCTCTGAGCTACAGGCAGTTAAACAGACAGACAGTCCTCTCTGAGCTACAGGCAGTTAGACAGACAGTCCTCTCTGAGCTACAGGCAGTTAGACAGACAGTCCTCTCTGAGCTACAGGTATTTAGACAGACAGTATTCTGTGAGCTACAGGCAGTTAGACAGGCAGTCCTCTCTGAGCTACAGGCAGTTAGACAGACAGACAGTCCTCTCTGAGCTACAGGCAGTTATACAGACAGTCTTCTGCGAGCTACAGGCAGTTAGACAGACAGTCCTCTCTGAGCTACAGGCAGTTAGACAGACAGACAGTCCTCTCTGAGCTACAGGCAGTTAGACAGACAGACAGTTCTCTCTGAGCTACAGGCAGTTTGACAGACAGACATTCCTCTCTGAGCTACAGGCAGTTAGACAGACAGACAGTCCTCTCTGAGCTACAGGCAGTTAGACAGACAGACAGTCCTCTCTGAGCTACAGGCAGTTAGACAGACAGACAGTCCTCTCTGAGCTACAGGCAGTTAGACAGACAGACAGTCCTCTCTGAGCTACAGGCAGTTAGACAGACAGTCCTCTCTGAGCTACAGGTATTTAGACAGACAGTCTTCTGTGAGCTACAGGCAGTTAGACAGACAGTCCTCTCTGAGCTACAGGCAGTTAGACAGACAGACAGTCCTCTCTGAGCTACAGGCAGTTAGACAGACAGACAGTCCTCTCTGAGCTACAGGCAGGTAGACAGACAGACAGTCCTCTCTGAGCTACAGGCAGTTAGACAGACAGACAGTCCTCTCTGAGCTACAGGCAGTTAGACAGACAGACAGTCCTCTCTGAGCTACAGGCAGTTAGACAGACAGACAGTCCTCTCTGAGCTACAGGCAGTTAGACAGACAGTCCTCTCTGAGCTACAGGCAGTTTGACAACAGCTGACACAGGGGGAACTGTATGAATCTGAGAAGCTCCTACCTCGCTTGCTGTTTGCAACTTGAACTGAAGGGACAGTTGACAAATCAACTTGATGAACTACTGGACAAATTCAACAAAAATAAGAAAAATAAACAAATAAATAAATAAACAAATAAATAAATAAACAAAAGCATATATTTTGTTGTTAAACATTAAATAATAGAATGTTCTAAAGGCTTAAAGCGCTGACACATTCATATTTCTTTCACTATAGTACAAAAAAAGGTTTAAATAAACAGACAGAACAATGGTCTGATATGAATTATTAAATGCAGAGTGAGATAGGTGATCCTATATTTGTATATTTTGATTGTGTTGATATTCTGAGA